CATACAGGCCACTCAAGGGTGCTTATCAATTTAGTTACATTCCATTCCATACTTTTAAGATATCACACTTCAATTCCACACTTTAATACTTATTCTATATTGTATTTTATACTTATTACTATTACTGTAACAGGCAATGATTTATCTTAGTTGTCTTTATGTCTAATGCCTACAGAGTACCTTGTATCTTTTTTTCTTTAATATATTTTATTGATTTCAGAGAGGAAGGAAGGGGGAGAAAGAGAAACATCAATGATGAAAGAGAATCATTGTTTGGCTGCCTTCTGCATGCCCCTAGTGGGGATGGAGCCTGAATCCTGGGCATGTGCCCTGACTGGGAATTGAAAGGTGAAATTAGCTCTGGCTGGGTGACCTTCTGATTCCTAGGTTGACACTCAACCACTGAGCCACACTGGTTGAGCGAGTACCTTATATCTTAAGATGTGTGTGGAATGAATACAAAAAATTGTCAGAAGGCACTATTGTTTATTTTAATAGATGAAATTATTAGTCTGTATGTGGACTTTGTAGAATTAGAAGATTTTCTAAACTATAATCTAGTAATCTTTTAGAATGTAGTATGTTATATTCATTTGGAAACTGCCTTAAAAGTTTTAAGAAAAGTAGATTCCAGCCCTAACCGGTTTGGCTCGGTGGATAGAGCGTCGGCCTGTAGATTCAAGGGTCCCAGGTTTGATTCTGGTCAAGGGCATGTACCTTGGTGCAGGCACATTCCCAGTAGGGATGTGCAGGAGTCAGCTGATTGATGTTTCTCATCGATGTTTCTAAATCTCTTTCCCTCTCCTTTCCTCTCTGTAAAAAATCAATAAAATATATATATTATAAAAAGAAAAGTAGATTCCAGATAGGTCTTAGTTACAAACAACACAAAGAAATTTAGCTTTTTTGAGCAGAAAGGAACTTATTGCAAAGGCATTGGATATCTCACAGAATGGATGGGAAAGGTGGAAAATTAGGCTTGGGAAATAGGCAGGAACCAAGGAAGACTGCTGCACACTCAGCCAAGGTCTGGCCACGGGAATAGAATAGTTAGCATACTGCTACTGGATTTGCACCACTGTCTTTGCTGAACCCACACCAACTCTTTTCCAAAAATTACCTTTAAATGTCTTTTTAGATTCCAAATCAAGAACCTCTGATTTGTCTGCACCCAGATCACATATTTGTAGTCTGGGTCCATGGACCAGAATAGGAGAGAAAATAACTAGTCAGTCTTAGCTTTTGTAGCGGGGGATTTATTTTCTACTACGATTGACACTTTGGGATACTCCATAGATAGGGAATTGAGGACAGATGGCTGGCTGGTAGGCAAAAAAGTAAAAAAAAAAAAAAAAAAAAAAAAAGGTGAAATTAGCTCTGGCTGGCTGGGTGGCTAAGTTAGTTCAAGTTCCATCTCACACCAAAAAGTTGTGCTTTGGTTTCTGTTCAGGGCACATACTTAGGTTGTGGATTCGATCCTTAGTCGGGGCATGTGGGAGGCATCTGATGTTTCTCACATTGATGTTTCTCCCTTCCACTCTAAAAATCAATAAAAGCATACCCTACTTTTATGGGTTTCTCTTTTATTATTTGTAAATTTGAAACACTGCCTTCATTATTAAATGGTAATAACAGTGTAAAAGTGTAATCAAATATATTTTTTTCTTTTTCTCTTTTTTTCTTTTGTCATCAAATATTTTGAATACCCTGTGAAAACACAAGAAATGTTGCTTTTATTCCTGTGATGTAAGTTAAAATACCTTTTCCCTTTCTTTGGCATATGTATTAATAATTTTTTAAATATATTTTATTGATTTTTTACAGAGAGGAAGGGAGAGAGATAGAGAGCTAGAAACATCTATGAGAGAGAAACATCGACCAGCTGCCTCTTGTGCACCCTCTACTGGGGATGTGCCCACAACCAATGTACATGCCCTTGGCCAGAATCAAACCTGGGACCTTTCAGTCCACAGACCGACGCTCTACCACTGAGACAAACCGGCTTTGGCTATATTAATAATTTTTAAATATACCTTTCTGAAGTTTATGGGAACTTAAAGTTGGAGCAGGGCAGTCCAAGGCATATTGTTGATTAATTGGATATTTTGATATAATTTTAGTAGCATTGCCCGCAGAAGATAGATATAATAATTATTCTAGGACATTTCTCTTAGTTTGCTTTTTACAAATCTTAAATTTTGCCAACCTTGCCTATCTTTTTCCTATTGTTAGCTATCTGAATCTCTTTTTCTTTTCTTTTTTTAAAAATGTTTTTATTGATTAAAAAAAATATATATTTTATTGATTTTTTTATAGAGAGGAAGTGAGAGGGATAGAGAGTTAGAAACATCGATGAGAGAGAAACATGGATCAGCTGCCTCCTGCACACTCCCTACTGGGTATGTGCCCACAACCAAGGTACATGCCCTTGACTGGAATAGAACCCTTCCAGACCACAGGCTGATGCTCAATCCACTGAGCCAAACCCCTTCAGGCTGACTTTCTTTCTTTCTTTCTTTCTTTTTTTTTTTTTTAAGATAGAGGGAGAGAAACATCTATTGGCTGCCTCTTGCATGCCCCCTATTGGGGAATCAAGCCCACACCTGGGCATTTGCCCTGACCTGGTATTGAACCAGCAACTTTTTGGTGTACTGGAAAATGCTCAAGCAACTGAGTCACACTGACCAGGGCTACTGGATATTTCTTGAGATCTTAAAACAAGTCTGTATTGTTGTTTTAAGTAGAAAACAGTTATTTGGAAATCTCTTAATGAGATATTATGATTGGAAACAGCTAATAAGGTACATAGTAGGGGTCAACAGGTATAGATTTTCAGTTATTAAAGAAATCATTTTTGGGGATATACTGTACATCATGGTGACTAGTTAATAATACTCTGCTGCATATTTGAAAGTTGCTAAGCGCATAAATCTTTTTCTAATTAAAACTTTTTTCAATTACAGTTTACATTCAATATTTGTATTACACTCAGCTGTACAGCATGTGAGAGTAAATTTATTTATTTACTTATTTTACGTTATAAGAGAAAGTTTATTTAGAAAGCCACAGAGGTAGAAGAAGTGAGCCGTAGAAGAAATACATTCAGGAAACAAGTTACAGAAGCAAAAGAAGGGCCTCTGGAGCTTAGGAGAAAGAGGGAGAGAGAGGGACAAAAGAGGGAAGAAGGTGGGCTCCAGAAAAAAGAGAGCGAATATGTTGAGAATAAATCTGAAATAGGTAGCCTGGCCAATTCTGCTCAGTGATTGAGCATCGACCCATGAACCAGGAGGTCATAGTTTGATTCTGGTTTAGGGTACATGCCTGGGTTGTGGTCTCGATCCCCAGTGAGGGGTGTGCAGGAGGCAACCAATCAATTATGTTTCTCTTTCATCGATGTTTCTATCTCTCTAAAAATTAACAAAAACACTAAAAAATTTTTATTGGCCAAAACTGGTTTGGCTCAGTGGATAGAGCATCAGCCTGTGGACTGAATGGTCCCAGATTCGATTCCGGTCAAGGGCATGTACCTTGGTTGCGGGCACATCCCCAGTAGGGGGTGTGTAGGAGGCAGCTGATCGATATTTCTCTCTCATCGATATTTCTAACTCTCTATCCCTCTCCCTTCTTCTCTGTAAAAAATCAATAAAAACTATATTTAAAATTTTTTAAAATTGATTTCAGAGAGGAACAAAGAGGGAGGGAGGGAGGGAGAGAGAGAGAGAGAGACATCAGTGATGAGAGAGAACTATTGATTGGCTGCTTCTTGCATGCTCCACCCTGTGGATTGAGCCCACAACCCAGCATGTCAAACCGTGACTACTTAGTTCATAGCTCGATGCTTAACCATTTAGCCAGCTGGGCAATATAAACATATAAAAAAAAAAGAAAGAAAGGAAGGAAGGAAGGAAGGAAGGAAGGAAGGAAGGAAGGAAGGAAGGAAGGAAGGAAGGAAGGAAGGAAGGAAGGAAGGAAGGAAGGAAGGAAGGAAGGAAGGAAGGAAGGAAGGAAGGAAGGAAGGAAGGAAGGAAGGAAGGAAGGAAGGAAGGAAGGAAGGAAGAAAAAGATACATGGTAGGTAAAACTTCTACTAAGTCCAGGTAAAAAAGGGAGAGTAGTTGTGTTGTTGACTAGCGGAAAAGTTAGGAAGCCTAATGAAAAGATTCAGAACATAAGCTCTTAAATAACAGTCCAGAAGCTAGTGATCAGGCTGGTAAGGTCACTCTGCTCTACGTGGTCATTCTGGAACACAGGATCCTTCTTTCTTGTTGCTTCACTGCCTCTAAGATGGTGTACTTTTTTGCATGTTTGCATATTCACATTTTAAACCATAGAAAGGAGGGAACAGAAATTCTTTGAGGAAAGACCCCAAAATTGCAGATATAACTTCTACTCATATTTTTGTGGCTAAGACTGATCATATGATACATTAAGTTGCAAAGGAGACTAGGAAATATAATTGGCAGCTGTGTGGCCACAACTTAGGAGACTTTATTAGTTAAGGGAAACAAGAGAACATACTGGATAGAGGTGCAGTGGAGGCATGTCTAATGTTTTTGACATATATGTGAAAATAAACTAGGGAGAGAGGGAAGTTATTTTTTATATAAAATCTGAATCAATTAACACTTGTAAATAAATATATTTTTAAAACATTACATAGAAGAAAAGTCTTAGAAATACTTATTTTGGTATTTAGTTGACAATTGAAGTCAAGGAGAAAATTTACTAGCATGTAATAAACTTCATTTAAAAAATATTTTTATTGATGATGAGAGAGAATCACTGATTGGCTGCCTTCTGCACCTGCCCCCCCCCCCCCCCCCCCCCGTCCCCCTGCCTTTACCTCCAGGAGTTGAGCCCACAATCTGCGCATGTGCCTTGATCCAGAATCAAACTATGACACCATGACATCCGGTTATAGGTCTGTGCTCAACCACTGGTGACAACAGCTGGGCAGCATGTAATAAACTTTAAACTGAAAAAATACTTTCATATTTTTAGGTTTTACACATCTGTTAATAGACCTTTTTGGAGCTCTGCCAACCAACTCAATGGCGTCTTCTACTTCTGTGCCTCTGGGATTTCACTATGAAACAAAGTATGTTGTTCTCAGCTACTTGGGACTCCTCTCTCAGGAAAAGCTACAAGAGCATCATTTTTCCCCACTCCAAGGTATTATCTTTGGCATTTGGTGGTTATATTTAGTACCAATAATTACATCATATATAAAAGCATGTATATCTAAGTAATTTATATTTATGGTTTTATGATCAAATAATACCAAAGGTTTTAAAAAACCTTTATTGTTGAGAGTATTACAGCTGTCTCTCCATTTCCCCCCCTCCTGCTGGTTCCTGTCCTCTCCCAAGCCTTCACTACTTTATTATCTGTCTCCATGGGTAATGAATATAAGTTCTCCAGTTAATCTCTCCCCTGTCCCACCTTTCCCTATAAGATTCATCAGTCTGTTCCATGTTTCCATGCCTCTGGTTCTATTTTATTCATCAGTTTATTTTATTCATTAGATGCCTTGTTTATTTATGTTGATTTTTAGATTCAGTTGTTGGTAGATATGTATTTATTGCCATTTTATTTTTCATATTTTTTATCTTTTTTTTTTTTGCTTTTTAAAGAATACCCATGTATTTCATGTAATGCTGGTTTGGTGGTGATGAACTCCTTTTTTTTGTGTGTGATGAACTCCTTTAGAATTTTGTCTATAAAGCTCTTTTCTTTTTTAAAAAATAAATCTTTATTTTTCAGATTATTAAAAATGTTCCCCCCTTTTTTTTATTCCCCCTTCATTGCTCCCATCCACCAGGTTCCCACCCCACGCTCTGCCTTTTCCCCATCCCCCATTATCCTCATCCATAGGTGCACATTTTTTGTTCAGTCTCTTCCCAGCCCTCCATTCCCCTTTTCCCCGAGAATACCTCTGATTCTATTATATTAAACAGTTAATATTGTTCATCAGATTTTTTTATTATTATTTATTTATTTATTTATTTTAATATATTTTATTGATTTTTTTTGCCCCCTTCCTCCCTTCCACACATCCCCTCCCTCCCCAGAGTTTTGTGTCCATTGGTTGTACTTATATGCATGTATAAAAGTCCTTCGGTTGATCTATTATCTCCCCCAGATCTTCCTCCCCTCCCCGCTGTAATTTGACAGTCTACTTGTTGATATACTGTCTCTATATCTGTCGGGTCTAGTAATGATTAATGTCGTTTTTAAACATTCGTTTAAAATCTTGCTTGGTGTTGACTTGTATTGACATAACCTTCAAACACGTGGTAACTACAGAACGTGTGAAGTGCAATTAACAAGTTTTGCTTGAAAAAGTTTGTGTTTGGTTTGGTTTTTGTTGCAAAACTAGGGCTAAGAAGATGGCGGATGAAGAGCATATTCGGCACTGCATGCTTTACGAGTTCCAATTAGGAAGAAAAGCAAGTGAGACTGCAAAAAACATCTGTAGTGCTCTTGGTCAAGATGCAGTTAGCGCCAGAAAATGCCAGCATTGGTTTGAGAAATTTCGTGAGGGAAATTTTTCGTTAGATGACAAGAGTGGTCGAGGCCGTGTGTCCAATTTTGATCAAGAAGCTCTTCAAGCTCTTTTGGTGCAAAATCCTCAAATTACCCAACAAGAGCTTGCGACAACTTTAAATTGTTCAAAAAAACAATTTCCAATCAATTGCGTGCACTTGGCAAAGTCCAAAAGTTTGGAAAATGGGTTCCTCATGAGTTGACCGACAACAACCATAATCAAAGAGTCACAATTTGCAGTTCGCTCCTCTCTCGTCAAAACCGTTTGCCGTTTTTAGAGCAAATTGTTACCGGAGATGAAGAATGGGTGCTGTATGTTAATTTGAAAAGGCGGCCTCAATGGTTGGACAAAAATGAGGCTCTGCAGCCCATGCCCAAACCTGACTTGCATGTGAAAAAAGTGATGTTGTGTGTTTGGTGGTGTTCATCAGATTTTTTAATTCCCTTGGTTTTTAGATTCACTTGTTGATAGTTACGTATTTGTTTTTCATAATTTTATTTTTATTTTCTTCCTCTTCCTAAAGAACTCCCTTCAGCAATTCATATAATTCTGGTTTGGCGGTGATGAACTCCTTTAGCTTTTTTTTTTATTTGTGAAGCTCTTTATCTGGCTTTCAATTCTGAGTGATAGCTTTGCTGGGTAGAGTATTTTTGGCTGTAGGTTCTTGCTATTCGTTACCTTAAATATTTTTTGCCATTCCCATCTGGCCTGCATGGTTTCTGTTGAGAAATCAGCTGACATTCGTATGGGTGCTCCTTAATAGGTAACTACCTGCTTTGCTCTTGCTGCTTTTAATATTCTCTCTTTGTCTTTTGCTCTTGGAATTTTAATTATGATGTGTCTTGGTGTGGTCCTCTTTGGATTATTTTTGTTTGGGGTTCTGTGCGCTTCTTGGACTTGTAAGTCTATTTCTTTCACCAGGTGGGGAAAGTTTTCTGTCACTATTTCTTCCAATATGTTTTCAGTATCTTGCTCTCTCTCTTTTTCTGGGATCCCCATAATTCTGATGTTGGCTTGAAATTGTCCCAGAGGTTTCTTACATTATCTTCAACTTTCTGGATTCTCTTATCTTTTTGCTTCTGTGGAGGAGTGTCCTCTGGCTCTTTGTGTTCCATATCTTTGTCTTAATTCCTGCTTTCTTCCAGTCTGTTTTTAGGACTCTGTATAATATTTTTTATTTCAGACAATGTATTCTTTATTTCTAGTTGATCCCTTTCATATCCTCATAGGTCTCGTTTATTTTATAGGCCATTTTTAGGAAATTCTTGATAAACCTTATAATTGTAGTTTTGAACTCAATGCCCATTCTTTTACTTTCTTCAATCTCCTTCCATTGTGTCCTGCCTCTTCTCTGCATTTTAGCTGCTTTCCTGATTTGATGGAATAGTTTTGTGTGCTAGGTGTTCTGGTAGAGCCCAGTAGCACAGCCTTCCCAGTTACCTGAGGTGTGCAGTCAAAGTGCAGCCCTTTGTGGGCTGTGTGTGCAGTCTTGTTAAGCCTTGCTTATTGTTGATATCACTGGGAAGCATTGATCTCCAATCCAATTGGCTTTGAGGATCAGTAGTGTCTCAGCTAGGAGGGCTTCTGTGCTCTGCTTAGATGGAGTGGAGACTCGGGGTGGCGCGGACAAGCTTTGGTTGCCCGTCAGTCCCGCCTTAGGAAAGTCCTTTTCGCAGCAAGTCCTGCAAGATTGGTTGCTGGTGCATGTTACTCTTGGGTAAAAGGTGTTCTAGAGTTTTGCCTCGTCCCTGACAGCCAGTTTTTCCCTGGCTCAGAGTTGTCTCTCAGTGCAGTTGAGAGTTTTTTGTTTTTTTCCTCCCGAATGAGAAAGCCAGTCTCCTGGCGGGCTTCTGTGTTTTGCTTGGATGGGGCAGAGTCTCGGGGTGGTATATATAGGCTTTGGTTTCCCGTCAGCTCCTCCTTACGAGGTTCTGGTTCCTGAGTCCTGCAGTAATGGCCGCTGGCTTCACCCACCTCTGAGAGATCTCTGCCCACTGCCTGAAAGTCTGTCCTCTAAAGTCTAGGCCATCTATCAGAGCAATAAGGTTGTTTTGTGTTCCTCCCAAACAAGAAAGCCAGCCACGCGATAGCTGTGCATCCTCTCCGCTCGCCAGAAGTAAGCCAGAAGTGAACTCGGCTCGCCCTCTCTGTGTGCCGCTAGCAAGCCAGCAGCGAACTCAGCGGCCGCCTTTTCGCACGCACAGTTCTCCGCACCTTCACAGTTCCTGAGGCTCAGCATCCCTTCTCTCCCCTTCCCAGATGGTAGAGCCTTTTAGCCAGCCATCTGGTGCTTGAGGGCAATGTTTCCCCTGTTTTCCAGTTGTAAATTCAAAATTGTTGTGGTAGGCTGCATTCAGGTGTCTACCCTATGCCGCCATCTTGGTTTCTCCCTGAAGCTCTTTATCTGTTCTTCAATTCTAAATGATAGCTTTGCTGGATAGTAAGTCCTTTTTATCACTGAATATTTCTCGGCATTCTTTTCTGGCCTGCAAAGTTTCTTTTGAGTAATCAGCTGACAGTCTTATGGGGGTTCACATGTAGATAACTAACTGCCTTTCTCTTACTGGTTTTAAGATTGTTTCTCTTTAACCTTTGGCATTTTAATATATTTTATTGATTTTGTACAGAGAGGAAGGGAGAGAGATAGCGAGTTAGAACATCGATGAGAGAGAGTCATCGATCAGCTGCCTCTTGCACACCCCCTAGTGGAGATGTGCCCAAAACCAAGGTGCCCTTCAGTCTCCAAGCCGAATCGAACCCAGGACCCTTCAGTCTCCAAGCCGATGCTCTATCCACTGAGCCAAACCGGTTTCGGCACCTTTGGCATTTTAATTATGATGTGTCTTGGTGTGGGACTCTTTGGATTCATCTTGTTGGGGACTCTTTTGCACTTCCTGGACTTGTATATTTATTTCCTTCACCAAGGTAGGGAAGTTTTCTGTCATTATTTTAAAAATTAAAAGCAAATTGATTTCAGAGAAATCAAGATGGCATAGGTAAACCAGTTAGGCATAGGTAAACGCCTAACTGCAGCCTCACACAACAATTTAAAAAAAATACAACTAAGATACAAAATGGACATTAACCAGAACTACAGGAAAGTTGACTGGTTGGAAATTCTACAACTAGAAGGAAAGAGAAAACCAGAAGGAAAATCAGAGGAGCTGTAAAAGCCTAAGGTATGGAGACACAGTACACGTGTAGGGAGAGGACAGAGTTGGAGAAGAGGGGTCAGCTGAGTGCCTGGCTGGCGTTCCGTAGCGGGAAGGAGATAAAAGTTGCAGATTGTGCTGAACCCTAGTTCTGACTGCACTGAACCCCAGTTCTGGGTGAGACCCTGGGGACCCAGGCTCATATAGAGGGATTCTAGACTGTAAGGTGGAAACTCAGGGGAGCGGCGAAAGGCAGAGCCCTGGAGGTGCGTATGTAAATGCTCGCAGAGGATGGACTGTTGACTGTGCTGCTGTATTGCCCTAGTGGGAAGGAGACAAAAGTTCCGGACTATGCTGAGCCCCAGTTCTGACTGCACTGAACCCCAGTTCTACAATAGATAGACCCTGGGGACCCAGGCTCATATGGAGGGAATCTGGGCTGTAAGGCAGAAACTCAGGGGAGTGGCAAAAGG